TCAGTCTGTGCTGTCAGACAGAAGAGAAAGATTCCTCCCCACCTCCACCAAGAGCGGGACACTCCAGCAATGCAAGGGTTAAAATAAAGAATTTATCTCACACCTTCCTGCAAGTTTTTCTCGCTTTGAAATCCATGAAGCAGATGCATAAAATGGGTCACCTGGTGCAATAACGGTGTTTTATAAAATGAAAATTAAGAAAAAGTGGAACCAGGATAATGTAATTTCCTGACCTCCCACCTGTCGTCACTCCCCTTGTCCACTAGTCATCGTCCTGAGACCATTTTGTTTTTAAACCACATACTCTTCATTTCTTCCTCCTTCCTCCCCTTCCTTCTTTCCTTCCTCCCACCCTTTAGATCTTAACAGCAGTGTATTCAGGGCTTGCTATGTGCAAGGCACTCTTCCAAGCCTGGGGCCGTAGCAACGAATTAAATAGACAAAACCCCCAGAGCAGAGGGAGCTCACTGAGCACAAGAGACGTATCTGGGGGAGGAGCCTTTGAGACACAGTGTAGGGCAAATGCAAAGGCCCTGTGGCAGGAACATACCTGTGGTGTTGGAAGAATAGCAAAGAAGCCACGGTGGCTGGAGAGGGATCGAGGAGAAGGGTCAGGGGTTAAGCCATGCAAGTATGTTCTTAGAGTCCACTGTAAGGACACCAGAGGATTTTGAGCAGAGGAGTGCCATGATGTAGCTCACCCTTCAAAAGGCAGCTCCAGCCTCTTTTCTCAGCCTTTCCATTCCCTCTATGCACACACCCATCCACCCGCCCACTCATTCACTCACCTGCTCAAAAAATATTTGCTGAGCCCCTCCTCTATGCCTGGCATTGTTCCTGATGACAGAAAGAGAGCAGTGACAAGGTTCTTGACCTCAAGGCAACTCAGCAAAATCTTCTGCAATGATGAGAATATTCCAGACCTGTGTTGTCCATTATGGTAGCCACCGGCCACACGTGGCTCTGGAGTATTAAACATGGTGAGTGAGACTGAGGAACTGAATTTTATTTTATTTTTATTTCATCAAGTAAAATTTTATGAATAAATAATTGTTGCTATCAATTACTTAAGTTCCACAGAAATCGCCCCCGTGTGGCTAGTGGCTTCTGTCTTGCAGGGCTCAGCTTCATGCCCTGAGCCCAGGATTACTCCAGGTCCTAGAAAGAGCCCGTCAATAAGGTCTTCGCGTTCTTGGAGGTTACTTTCCAGTGTGTGAGGAAAAGAAAACATGAAATCACTTAAGAGAAGCTCGGATCAAGAGGAATATGTTGAGGAAGATAAAGTGGGGCGGTTAGATACAAAGACAATTTGGGGACAGTACAAGGACAGCTTCATTAGAACAGTCAAAAAGGCATCTCGCAAAGAAGGGGTGTCTCAGGTTGGGCTTCCCGGGGCTTCTCCCCTGTCAGAGAGTGGAGACAGCGTGCGGGAGGTTTGTCAGGCATTTCCTCGGGATCAACACTACAGAAGGGAAGGGAGGAACTAGGATTGGAGAGAGAGAAGGTGAACCACCGTGCAGGCTCGACAACCTCGGCTGAGCCCACAGGAGCTCTGGACGCAGCTCTTCCAAGTTGCCTTGGGTTGGGATAGCTGGGCCTTCAAACCTGGCCTCGGTTTGTCCTTGGCGATGGCCCTGCCTGGGAAGGAAACAGCCCTGGGGAAGGGGGGCCACTTGAAGCTGAGGACATCTCTGACTTGGACAGACCGCCAAAAGCTGCGTACAGACAGCGCTACTCGAAGCTGGGCAACAAGTCCTTTTTTGCAGGGAGATCCAGGCAGCCCATCCCCATCTCCATCATGGGGGCATGCAGAAGACAGCCACAGGATGAACAACGGGAAGGGAATTCCAGCACAAGAAAGGCACAGAGGCCGGGGCAGCTCGACGTGTCCATGCTCCAGAGCAGGCACTCGAGCTAAAGTGATCTACCATTAAATATTCAGGCTTCTCACCTATCTGTGCAACATCATTTTAATTTGACAATCAGATTGGTAATAAACAAGGCTGAACGGCTAAATCTATACCTCTGATGTCTGCGTGTAGTGAGAGGTAGTGGTAGCAATTGCTGAGTGTTTTATTTAGAAGAAGAGGAGGGGGACAGAGAAGAGAGAAATTGAAAGGAGGAGGAGGAAGGGAACAACAACAACAAAAATAACAAACAATGTGAGTTTGCCTCTGGGCTCAGAGGGACACAGATTCTGTAATCAATTATTGATGTCTGCCATGGGCACGGGAAAGGAATAATTGTAGCACTCTTGGCAGTGAATTTTTTACCCTCTGTTTATTCCTAATTTATTTGTTAATAATCTAATAAGTACCTACAAATACTCCACCCAAGTCTGTGATTTCCCAGGAAGAGACAGCAGGCTGCAATTATCCCTGAAGGTCACCGGGCTGAGAGTGTGATCTCCCCACCATGAGACTCAACAACCCAGCCACCACCTTCTTCCCTGCACGTCCACCATCCCTCTCATTCTAGAAAGCCAAAGAAGGCCACCCCCAGGGTTAATTTAGGACTCCTTTATTGACGCTTATGCCACATGTTCCCTATGTTCTTCACGAAGGACCAGGTGATTAAACGAGGTGGGGGAGAGGGTATTTCTAAAAGTGATTGTTTAAGCTTGAAAGACGAGATGAGAAAAACGAAGCATGTTCCGGCCTCCATATGGTGGTCTTGCTCCGAAGATGTTTCTTCTCTCCCTGAAAACAGAAGCAAAGGCCAGAGTTCAAGTAGTAAATCCAAGTTGGCTCAAAATGTAACGTGAATAAGAAGGTGACTTTGTCCTGATTTTCCAGACTTAGAAGCTAGAGGGAGCAGCTGAGCCAACAGCAGTTAGACACCCTCTGCGCCCACCTGGCTCATGGGGGCAGGTAGGTCAAGGAACAAAGAGCCCCTCAACCTCAGCTCTGTGGTGACAGGTCTGGTGGGAGAGAGACCTGCAAGGAGACAGTTCTGCTGTGATGGGTAGAGGTGGAGGCTGACACCAGACACGTTCTCAGTCCCAGCCACAGACCGGAGACCACTGTGGGTATGTTTCAACATCCACCCTGTTAAGATGGTAGCCACAGTCTCAAATCCCCTTCTTGGCCTCTTTCTTGCTCTGGGAAGATAATTTTCACCACCAAGCCCAAGTTCAGGAACGGTCACTAATTTGGTGTCATCCGTAAGCCACATGCTCTGTAAAGACAAATATTGCCAGAGCCACCAGAGTGTTCTACCCTGGAGGGGAGAGAAGTGGGTTTTGTCCACACATCCAATGAAAGGGCTTCTCTTTACTTTTAGATTGCTGAAGGGACAGAGCACTTGGGGCAGTCGGTCCACGCGGGAGGTCTAGAGAGCATTTCTGCAGGCTGAGGATGCTGCCCCTAGCCCAGGTGAAAGCCAGCAGGCAGAGCCTAGAAGAAAAGCAGGGACCAAGCTGTCCTGTGGAGGTAGTTGATGATTTATGGGCTGAGGTGGGGCAGGGGCCCAAATGATGAAAGAAGAGAAGTTAAACCTCATGTTTTCCTTGGCTGTCTACTCAACGACGGGGGCGATGGATCTACAATATGGTGCCTTGGCTTTTGGGGACCAGAGAAGGGCATCCCCTTCTCTAAGTTGTCTTTTCATATCACATTCCAGCTGGAGAAAGTCTGCTTTCCTCATCTTTCACACCCACAGCCTCCCAGACTTGAGACTTGAAGTAGTACCTTTCTGAGTCTGAAAAAGTTGGCCCATCCCCCCTTTGCTCTCCTGCCTGCCAGAGAAATCCCGATTTCTGCCAGCCTTCAAATTTGGGAAGGCGTCCAGTCTTCCCCGCCCCCTGACCCCTGGCTCCATAGTATCTTTGGAAAGTGGAGCCCACCTCGCTGGAAAGCGCGGCTACTCAGGCAGCCTGGGAGGAACAGACCTCAGCTTCCCATCGGAGAAGGACCCAGCTCTGATCCCTGCTCTCACCGTGGCATCAGCAGTACACCCAGGTGTGGTCCTGGTCATAGTTGTAAGAAGTCGCACACCACGTAAGGTTCTCCTTGGATCCTTTGTTAGTGCAGTTATAATAATTCTTGTTTTTATAGTTGAATGGGAAGTGGCAGGGAAAGCCAGGAGCCAATGAGGAAACTCCTAGGGAGAAGAAGGGTTTGAAACAGAGGTTACTCGCACTGCAGTGCAGGCTTGGGCTTCAGAGCCCACCCAAGATCCAGAACTGGATAATGACGGCTTTAGTTGTGCTGTCTGGCCCTGCTCAGAGGCGCCCACTGGAGGGATGAATTCTGACCTAATCCTAAATGTCAGAAGAATGTTGTGCAGCTGGATTTTCCTTCCTCAGAAGCCATCTGAGTTTAGGACTCAGGAAAGGGTGGGGAATACAGTGGGGGAGTGGAGTGGGGAAGAGGCAGAGTGAACGCACAGGGCTCCTGGCAGCGGAAGGGAGAAGAGGAAGTTCTGTCACCAGGAGGACCAGGGAGGGGACAGAAGATTTGTCTCAGAGGATGAATTTCAATGGATCCCCATTTTTACTGGATTCCATATTTGCAACTTCACCTACTCATTAAAACATTGGTAACCCCAACATCAATACTTGTGGTGCTTCTTTGGTCATTTTTGGACACACACAGAGGCTGAAAAATTTGAGTCACCAAACGCACACGCTCTCAGCTAAGGGAGAACAAGGCGAGGCTCTGCCTGCTCCTTGCGGCTCTCGTACCGTGAACAAGCACCCTTTGGCGGTCTAGTACCGTGGGTTTTTGTTGTTTTGTTTTTTTTTTTATTTTCATGTTTTTTGTTGGTGATGTCACCACTTAAAATGGCACCACGAGGGGTGTTGAAGTGCTGTCTAGTGATCAGGAGAAAGTTATGATGTGTCTTACGGAGAAAATAGGTGCCTTAGAGAAGTTTCCTTTAAGTGTGAGTTATAGTGCGGCTGGCTGTGAGCTCGGTGTGACTGAATCGGCAATATATATATATTAATCGAGGTGTCTTCAAACAGAAAAAAGAGGCCGGGCGCAGTGGCTCACGCCTGTAATCCTAGCTCTCTGGGAGGCCGAGGCGGGCGGATTGTTTGAGCTCAGGAG